TATTCAAAACATAATAAATAATATATTAAAATTTCAAATAAAATTATTATGTACATTTTTATGTAATAATAAATTTACGATGTGCAATACTTTTGTCCATATAGTGTATAATTTATAATAGTCTTAATATTATATTTCTTAAAGAAAGACAAAAATTCTCCTTAGTTAAAAATCTTATATCCAAACTCTTCATGTTGATCACAAGAAAATATATACTTTAAAGTCTACGATCTATCCAAAAGAATTAAGCAATCTGGTTTTGCCCAATCTGTAGATTTATTTTATAGGGTAGTCTAATAGGAGTAAAAGAAAAAAATTTTCAATTTTTTCAATTTTTTTCTTATTCTGAAAACAATTCTTCCATATCTGGTAATTCGAAAAAAAAATAACACTTTTTTATTCCAAAAAAAGTTATTGAGATGCAAATGACTGATCACGTAATCCCTTGTTAATCTTTTTTATTTGAGAAATATTTTTTTCTTTCACACCTTAAATGGATCTGTATCACGTAAAAATGTGTACTACATACTACATACAAATTCATAAACAAAAACTATAAAAATAGGGAAAATCACGAAAATCCAAAGTAAAAATTACAAATGAAATTACTGACTTCTTTAGCCCAAGACTATTCTTCACTATTGGATCACCGAGATGAATTTTACGATGTAATCATTCAAGTTGGTAACGAAGACTCGCCAAATTTTTTTCGAGCACATTCGGTAGTCTTATGGGCAAGATCTCAGTATTTTCGTGAGAAATTATCAAGAGTTGATAAGGATAGTTTTAGGAATGTTATCACCATTAGTCTTTCAAATATCTCAGCGGAACAGTTTGGAGTGTTACTTAGGTAAGATGAGCACGTAGAAAATACCCTATTGCACACATTCTAATCATATTACACTATATTTACTAGATACATTTATACTGGTACTATCGCTCTCGAAAAATATAAAATAGAAGACATGATACTTCTCATGATGGAAGCAAAACAATTGTTACTACCAGAATTTGTAGATTACGTTCAAGAATATTTAATTGATCATCAGAATCTTATAATTAACAATTATTTTTCTATTAATAAATTTATTGCCAAATATTCTGGGAAACTCGACCGTCTAGTTGAGTTATGCAATAGAATATTAATACAAAATCCAATGGAAGTAATTAATTCGCCGCAGTTCCTTAGAATTAATCAAAGGGAGCTTTCACAATTTCTTGAAATTTTTTCAAACACGTCACATTCACCCTTACATCCGGAAGCTTCTTCGAATGGCATAACCTTATTAGACATCTGTTTGTCAGACACCAATTTGCCGGAGGCCACCACTGTAAAAGACACAATTCTATGGAACAAATTAGTAGATTGGGGAGCTACCCAATTAAATCTTATACCTTCTAAGATCTCCGAGTTCGGAGATGACGATTGTCTTTACATTAAGCAGGTGATCGAACCTTATTTGCCATTTATTAATTTTGAGAATATTAGTTCAGTAGAATTCAGGGAAAAAGTTACACCAATTAGGAAAGTTTTGGATAATAAATTTTATGTGGAACTTTTAGAAGCTTATGCTGAGATGGAATCAGAACATGAGACCCGTTCTCATAATGGCTCCACATATTCACGGGTATCTACAAATCAACGGTCAGTCAGTAAACAACAAAAACAATATTCAGGTACATCTTCGAACAATTCATCGTTGAATCATCCTTCGGATCATGAGCATTCTCCTAAGAGGAATTCAACTACAAATCGTCGCCTTTCGAACAATTCGAATCGTTCCTCGGATTCTTTTGGAAAGAATTCATTACAGAAACGTCCTTCGGATCACGCGTATTCTTCGACGAACAATTCATCATCGAACCATCCTGTTGGTTATGCGCAATCTTCTATGAATTATCCGTCAATGAGCTATCCTTCAGATTACGCGCATTCTTCTACTAACAATTCACCAGTGAATCGTCCTTGGAACCATGAACATTTTTCTAAGAACAATTCATTATCAGACCACTCTCACCATCCAGACGAACAATTTGAAGAAGATCTTGACGCTCTTGAAGAATTCATGCGACCACTTCCAAAAATTAAAATCAATAATGAAACTACTCGATCATCAAGAAACCGATCATCTAAAAATTCACGTGCGCAAAGGCACCGTTATTGAGCTGTAGTGTTGTACCTCGCATGCCACGTTAAAAAAATTCCATTATTTTTATTTTCTTTAATTGTATCATTCCTTTAAAAAATCACGAATTCATTATAGTGATAATCATATTTATAGATTTATTAATTAAATCTTGCTATTCATCCTAGTGTGATCCACCTTTCTAACATGAAGATTAATATATTATGTGTCCTATGATTACGGCTAATTGCTATCCATGTTATTCTTGATGGAAAAGAGTGATTCAAAAATTAAAACTTCCTGAATGGGTGTATAAATGAAACATTCCATTTATCAAATTACGCCTTGCATTAGGCATGTTGCAGGGTTCCGTTAATAGAGCTAAAATTGTAAAATCAAATGAGAAAGGGCACACCGTTACGTTGTACGAGAATAATGAAGATTATT